TCAGAACCAGAGAAGTCGGATTCGTCGTTCTCTTCCTCCGCTCCTCCGAGTGTGGCAGCAGAGGTTCTGCCAGCCTTGGCAGGGGGTTGATGGGAGAACCGACTTTTTGTGGAAGAGCGGGTCGACGAAGCTTGTTTGTCAGTCTTATCGCCGGTGTGGTAATTATTCCTGTGTTTCTACGCCAAAAATATAAAAATTTATTATTATCTCTTTATATATTATAGATATGGTAAAAATGACATCAGAAATGGATTTCTCAGGTAAAATAACCCCTAGCAACACCGCAACCGCTGCGCTGAGGCTAGCGGTGAGCGTAGCGTAAGCGTAGCGAATTCGCGCTCGCTACCCTACGCTATTTGAAGCGGTCTGGCCGCTGCGCTTTTCGCTGACTGAAAATGGGTCAGGAATCCGGGGTTTTCAGCGAGCTTTCTGTAGCGAGCAATAGCGGCAGTCCGCTGCGCTTAGCGCTGGAATAGCGGAGAGATCGCTGAAAAAGCGGTGAGGGGGTTATATTTCTATGTAGTTGGATCATGTATGTATATGTATGAATGGAAGAAAACTATGTGTATGATATTAATTGGTGAAGAGAAGAAAAAGGGACAGGGACAAGCTACACAGTCGAGGCTGGGTTGAATTTGGGGTTCTTCTTGGTGGCTGCCATGACCGATACACAATCATCAAAACCACCTTGGGCTTGAACTCCGTTTCGAATCCACAGGTGACTACTAATGCACCGCTCAATTGTTCGAGGGGCAAGAGCACTTCGTGCTGTTGTACAGATGTCGGAGGCCGCAGAAAACGTTCGCTCCACTGTTGCCGAGCTGCTGGCACAAGCCAAGTAGTCTCTTGCAAGAGATGACAAGATTGGGAATGAAGGTGCCTGTGTCTAATGAAATGATGTAAGGATTAGACATGGCACCTGTTTTTATAGAAAAAGATACGTACTTTCCACCACAGCAATACATTGCCTTTAATGCCTAATGTGTATTTGGTTTCGTAGTATCGGTTCAGCTCGTCTTCACTGTCATCAAGTGCCGAGTTTTTTGGATAAAAGTTGTACTCGTCATCTTCGGGAACAACCGCCTGGGATGATTCCTTGGTCGATGGAGGGGTGGGCAATTTTAACAATGCTTGACGCTCCTTGAACTTTTTTGAGATGAGATCTTGAGCTATCCTATGATGTGATTGGAATTTGTTAGCGAACAGTAGTAATCGCCAGGCTGGATGTAAGATTGTAGCCATCAATATTGGCTCGCACTTCAGAGCCAGATCTTTGTACTTTGTTGCCACTTTGATCATCGGATCAAACATCGCTTCTAAGATTCCATTCTTGCTTGATTCTTTCAACTTTCCCAAAGTCTCAAGCAGTCGGCTATATTCGTAGAGAACCATTGCACATGATGGTCCATCTCCCTCCATTCGCTTGGTTAAATCCAAGAACTCCTACAGTGCATACATGGATCCGACTCATTTTAGATCAGACACAGTGATTGGTTTGACAAAAACAAAGTAGCAGAATCTACTTACCTTGAGAATCACATTAAGAACTTTGATATCATCCCACTCCCTTGATGTAAACTCATATCCGCTGAAGTAGGTACCTTTTCCATTCTCGGTTTCATTCACCAGTAGTTGGTTAACAACCTAACATGAAAACAATGATGAGTAACAACCTATGTACGATGCTGTGAAAAGATCTAAATGACCTACTTTTCTTGCATTGTATGCTCGACTCCGGCTATTATAAGCAATGTTCCATCGGATGCCATAGCCTCCAATGATACCAGGACCCTCATAGCCTAACCTCCCTGCCCATACTTTGAACTCTGCTTGTTTTGCAGGGGAGCTAGCAATCCGGCGGCAGACATAGTCGATCTATGTAGTTCAGATGGAAAAAGCATACCGTTAGTTTTTGATTGGTTTGGAATACATTTCAACTTTGTAGAAATCACTTTACCTTTTTTAAGGTGAATCCAATACCGCTGAGGGCGTACTCTCCTTTGGTCTTCTTGCCAGCTACTTCGTTGGTCTCTTCGGGTTCAGAATCTGATGACATATCGTCCGGATCGACTTCGTCTTCAGCCTCGGAGTTAAATTCTTCAGCGCCATCATCAATTAACTCGCCCTCTTCATCAATCGTCTCGAGTGTTGGGAAATTTTCTGGTTTTTTCGATTTTGGGCCCTCGGATGTTGATAGCTTGATTGCCGATAGTCCAGCCCCCAAGATGAGGGCCAGTACATGACAAAAGCACCTCTGGTGGTTAATTGAATTATCCCAGATTGTTCCGTCGTGAGTTTGGATTAATTGAGACAACTCTTTGGTCATCGTAAAGTTGTTTGACCCGGAGTCTGTCGTTTTTGCGAGGATGTGCTGCATCAAAAAGAAACAGAAGATAAGATTGTGAATAAAAATATTTGGATTGGAATCAAGCATTACTTATCTTTCCATGTAGGTTATGCTTGATCAGAACTCTTGCAAGAGGAGACGCAAGATAGATGCCTTTGTGATGCCAGGATATGTATTTGATTGACAGATGCTGACATCGATATACCCAATCCTTTGTTATGTAACAAGCAGAGATTCCCAAGAAGGCCTTGTGCCCTCCTTTAGTTGTCCACACATCCGAGACTAAGCTGATTTTTGAATCCGCATTCTAAAACACAAAAGACAGGTCAGGAGATCAGCAAGTTCAATTATGTGATTGAAATTGATCAACTCGCTTACATTGATATCATCCAAAACACTTTTCTGAAGAGCCAAATAAAGATTTCCAGCCGTTTTTGCAGCCCATGTACGGGAGTAAAGGTTTGCACGTGGATCGATGAGGTTCAACGAAATGCGAAGATGTTCATCTTCAAACCGAGCCCATGGAAGGGATTGCCGAATGAGCCAGAATACCATCATCTTGTTCAATGTGTTGTTATCAAAGCGACCTTTTGTAACATAGGAAGCTAAAGTGTTACCGGGGTTCTTGATGGCTTCAGAATCCTCTTTAGCACACTGAGCAGCAGTCCGTGGCAATTTACTACCGGCAGCAATTGCTTTCTCTCGGCTTGGACAGGCGCCTCGAATTGTCCCCTTGATGTTTGATCCGTCACGGTGGACCTTGAGATTGTAGTAAGAGGAGGTGGATGCTTTGACCGTCTTCAGACACCAAACACAGTTGTAAGACACGGTGTTTCCGATTTGAGAGAAGTAGTTAAGAACGCTGTCAGTTCCATCTTTCCGGGGTGCTAGCTTCTTCTCTTGCTTAGACGTCACTGAATTGGCAGCGGTCTTTGCATTTTCCTCATCAGAGTCTTGTACAATATCGTAGATTATTTCTGGGTTGACGGTGGTGTTGGTAAGGATGATGTTTTCTCGAATTGAACTGGGAATAGCCTATAGTTTTGAAAGTAATAAAAAAACATCCAGATCAAAAATTGCATACACGCCATACCATGGCACAAAATTTCTATACTGACGGTTTCAGTGGTGTCAGCAGAGGCTGAGTTCTGACTAGCAGTTGAGACAAGGGACTGGACTTGAAGTGCCCTTCGGGAATCAGATTGAGTAGGCACAAAACCAGGGGTTACCAGGGGGACTTTCTTTCGGGCTGATTGTCGAATTGGGACTGCAGGTGGGGGACGGCAAGGAGTTGTACCCTCCATGGCTGGGATTTCTTGTTCTGGGGTGAGGTCTCAGGCCATCTTAGATTTCAGGATGGATTGACAAATAAAATTGATCAATCAAAGTAAGTGAATGCTTGCTTCCCGAGGCTGTCTGCAGTCTTAGTGCTAGCTGATAATTTATAATGACAAACCCTAACCATCTTTGCTCTAATACATATAGGCTGTCACCATTGGGTGAAGTTGTGGTTGAATGTCAAGCCAATGGTGCTCTGACGCACAAAAAAGCGGCCATCTCCGCTGCCCTTTCTTCAATCCTCAGCGCTTACAATCAGGTTTTCAGCGAAAAGCGCATTAAAAGCGAGGCCAGCCGCTATCCCGCTGGCGCTACGCTATCTTGTAGCGAAAGCGGAAAAAAATCGCTCCGCTGCGCGGGGCCAAGATTCTGTGTAGCGGTTTTTGCGCTTCGCAGGCGCTCTGATCAGCGGTTGGTCGCTATCGCTGCCGCTATTTGGTTTCTAGAAAAGCAATTGAACGCTGCGCTGCGCTTAATGGCCGCTTTTTGTAGCGCAGCTCAGCGGTTGCGGTGTTGCCCCTAGTCACCCACTACAACTGACCCCATATCTCTCATAGTTTAGAAGTTACACAGATTTCAACCTGTCACGGGATATCTTTTGGATTCTTTACTCTGAGTATGGCTCATTTTGAATACTGGATGCATATTGAATATTGAATTCCTTTGTGTTGTATTGAATTCCTTTATTGGCACATAGTGCATATTGAATTCCTTTGTAGGTGCACATGCATTCCTTTGTAGTAGGACCTTGTAGGCTAGCCAAATTCCCTCAAGGCAGTGCTCTCACCAGCCAAATTCCCTCACCTGCATGTACTAGACTAGCTAAAATCCCTCATTGGATCTTCAGGCCAGCTAAAATGCCTCAAAAGCCTGTACCCTGGGGCTAAAATCCCTCACATTTGTCTATATAAGGAGGCCTCTGCCTGCCAGTTGTTCCCTCCATCATCCCACCAGTGGACCAGATCATCTCAACCACCCTTACAGATTATATACAAGTGACAGCCATAACAATACATTATATTGAAATACAATCATAACACTTTCATCATCATAACAAGTGCCAAGTGCCCATAACCTGCCTCACATACCATTACTGGTTGAAGCATAGCGCTCCCAGAGCTCCAAGCCTTGGTTTTAAAGCTTTGAACAACAGCTTCATCAATATAATCATCACTCATTTATAACTTCAGACCTTATACACATCACTCGGAAGCTTCATCTTGAACTATCCTCTATCACGATAAATATAACTGCCAAGCTAAGCTTGGTGGTCTTGTTGTTCTGATAGCATAGAAGGGCAGAGCTTGCAACTCCATCATCCCCTTCTCCATTCAGCAAAAGGGTTTTCATAACCACTTTTGAGTCTTACACCGGTTGACTTGTGTGAGTGGATCATACGCGCAACATGACCGCAGTTGTTGAGGTCATGACCGTCCATATCACAGAAGGTGCAGTGGCGGGGTTTGTTGCCGGCCGAGTTGCCTTTACGTTTTGAGTTGGGGTTGGCTTTCGTCGCCGAGGCAGATTCAAGGAGAGAGGGATCGTCGGATCTCGTTTTACGACGAAGTTCCTCGGCTTTGAGCGCGTCAATCAGTTTGATGGGACTGACGCGTGGCTCATTCATCATCGATGAGACGCACGACAGCCAATCTTGAGGAAGAGATGTTAGAATGGAGGCCGAGTATATGTCCTCCGGTGTGAGAGGCGATTCGGTCGTGACGAGGGCATTGAGACGTTCATAGGTCTTGGCCATCTCGTCTAGATGGGATGAAAGGTCTTCGGTCGCCATTCGCGACATCGTTAGCTTGCGGAGCCAGTACATAACGCCGCCGGCCGAAGAGTCCTGGTGGGCTCGTTTCAGAGCGTCCCACAATCCGCGAGTGTCGGTCTTTAAGTGACGGACGTTCCGGATGTTGATCGGATGAATCGTTCTGGAGATGACACCGCACACGGCTTTGTTGTCTCTCTCCCAGTTCGGTTTGAGTTTCGCCTTCGCCGGGTCTTCGGTGATGACGTAGTCTACGTCGGTCGCCATAAAGTGTATCTCGAGAATCCAGCTCCAGTCGAGATAGTTCGACTCGGAGCCTGGTGGCTTGAGCTGCTCCACCCCCGTCAGTTTGAGGGTTGGATGACTGGAAACCTCGGAATCGGTAGTCAAAGACATTTTCGACTCTGGCTGTGACGGTTTGGCGATGAAGTCAGACAGTAACGGTTTGGGGAGAGGCGGTAGTGACGGAGGCGAGTCAAGCGAAGCGGAAGAGGCGAAGAGTTCGGGGGTGGTCGAGATGTTGTATTCCGATTTGATGTACGGAGAAGGGGGTGAAGTCATATACCAGTTAATTCGCTTTGTCGGTAAGCGTACAGATCCTTATGGTCCCTCAAGTCTCAGTTAGATAGAAAAAGGCGCGAGTGCGTAGTCAGAGCGCGATGGTGCTCATAACCTGTTGAGGTGATACTGAGACATAAAGTGAGGTTGTGGAAGGATTACATTGCATCAGTAATGGAAAAAGGAAAAACAACCTCATGAGAATGAAAGAAGAGAAAGAAAAGGAAAACATAATAGAAAGGGACTTACCTGAGACATAAAGTGAGGTTGTGGAAGGATGAGGAAAGAGAAGCCTTCCACGCACTCACTCATGTCTCAGGTAAACTACAATGCTAGTGACATGTGAGTGAAATGTATGTAGCACATGACTGAGAGACGGAATAGAACACTGTGAAATCCAACAATTATAACCATCAACTTAGGATTAATAGAACAATACTTGCGAGCGATTGCAGGCAACTGCTTTTCGGAGATTGCGGAGCAAACAGTTGTTGCCAGCGAGTCCTACTGCTGCTCGGTCTCTTGCTTTGACCTGAGATTTTTTTGTACAGACCGGTCATGAATACATGTATTAGAATGATTAGTCTACATGGAGATAGAGTCGCTTGATTTTTTGACCTGTTTTGGTAAGCAAGGACTTGGATGCAAGTCTGCTTGGGGGAGTTTGACTTGATCAGCTTGTTTAGGTGAAAAGTACGATTGACTGGCTTATATTGTCAGGATCAATAACTTGCGATTTCATTTTTTCACACCGAACCTGATCAAAGGAACCGGCAGAAAGTTTGATTCTTTTTTTCTTTTTTCTTGAGTGATTGGGCTTGCACAAACGCAATTTCCTTGAGTACACCAACGATGTTGGAGATCAAGGCCGACAATGCGGCCTGCTTTTGGCTGAGGCGTTGAGGAAGGGCCATGGTGCAACGCTCTTGGAGCATGACAAGTCACTGGAGGGGAGAGCTGCCTATGCCAGTCTGTGGTGGCTGCCTTGCTCCCCTTGCCAGCTGTATAAAAAAAAAAGACAACTCCAGTCACTTCCTTCCAATTCGTCATTATCTTCTGTTTATTTCTTCATTTTCACACTTAATGTCAACCGGTCAAGGCCCCCTGGTGGGAGCAGCACAGCAGTTCGACTGGACCCAGGTTGCTATCACAACCCTTAAGCTTTTGTTTGGTGCGATAGTCCTGGACTATTCGATGTTTTTTTTTATAAAATGCTGACAATCTCTAACGATTCACACCACATAGCCAAGTTACCCCCCTACGAGAAGCCCAAACAGCAAGCAGCCCAACCCTCCGATCTCAACGTCACCTACACAACAAGCACAGTATGTCGTTGCTCATCAATTCAGTTGATTCGGATGATCTTACCCATCTCATTCTGCCTTTTATTTTCTCTTTTCCCAGATGTTAATGGCGTGTGTTCTACTTATCTTGTCATTGGCCATTCCTATCTACAACAGTCTGTGTTTTCTTTCTATTTCTTCTGTAATCGTTAATTGTACTTAAACTGACCTCCAAGATTTGCCATACTTCACCAAAAAAAGCTTGTTTCCTTTTCAAGCAGGAACGGCGGGCAAAGCAGCAGGAGCAGCAGGAGCAGCAGGAGCAGCGGGAATGGCAGGTCAAGCAGCAGGAGCGGTTTGAGCGATCGTTCGAGCGGTTGTTCGAGCAGCGGGAACGGCGGGAGCAGGAAGAGCAGCGGGAACGGCGGGCCGACCAGCAGGAGCAGCGGGAATGGCGGGCCGATCAGCAGGAGCGCTTTGAGCGGTTTTTTGAGCGGTTGTTCGAGCAGCGGGAACGGCGGTCCGAGCAGCGGGATCAACAGTTTAAGGAGCCCGTCAAGCAGCGGTTCCGTGCACTGGAGCAGCTTGCTGGACACACCAGGGGAAATTCCAGGGCACTGGTCAGCCAGTGACTACATGTCACCATAAAATCAGAAATACTTTCCCTTAAATCACTTGGATGTGGAAAATGAAACTCACATACTTTTCACAGTTGTGGATTCTGATTTTCCCTCACTTTTCACCAAAGATTAATTTGAATTTCCTCATGAAAAATCATAAAAGTCACTAGCTTCACCCAAGAGATGAATTTTTGAAGTCACTGGAAGTTCAGAGAAGTGATTGTTTTTCTGCTGATGATATATGTTTTGCTGGAGAATTATTTTTATCTGATGCTAGATCTGCAGCCATCACAAAACATATTTAGACTGTCTCAGATCAGGTGAGTATTTGTAGATTTAGAAACTCTCAAATCAGATCAACTCATAATTCTATACTGCAAGACAAATCTAAATGAATCCTTTCAGATTTAAAATAGTAATCCATACTAAAAAATACAATTTTTATCAAAACAGTTTTAAATTCCATTCAAATAAACTGAATTTCAATCAACTCCTTGGATATTTACAGAATAAAATTAATAAACTGAATTTCAATCAACTCCTTGGATATTTACAGAATAAAATTAACACTTCACATTTGGTATTCAATGCATTCTTGAGAGTTTGGTCTGTATATGATCGAGATAAGACCTAAGAGCATAATTTTTCATTCAGAGAAAAAAGATAAGTAAAGCTTTGTCAATAGAAATAAATCATTTTTCACATATAATGCACAATGACAGTCAATATCATCACAGGTAATAATCTCTTGATGAGAAGTGGGACGTGCTTGGTAAATATTTAAATGTGGCCAACCAGGCATAAAGGAATCATTTATATCCAAAGTATTTATCACCATAAAGTAGTCAGTTATTTTCTGGAAGGGATCATTCACGGTAAATATCTTGATTATCTTTCCAAATTTTGAAACACCATTTTTAAAATAAGATACAATACTGTTTCCTTGGTGCTTTTCAAATATTGTGAAAGTTTTATTTTTCCAATGAACTGATTTGTGATAAACCCACCATGGGGAAACTGCAAAGTGATTTCCACTTTGTCCTGGGTTTGCTTGACTTGAGTATACCCAATTTATACTTGGTTTTACTTTCCTTAAGTATTCCACAAAATATTTGTATATGTTTTCTTCAGCCTGAATAGGGCTTCCTGAGGTACTATTGGAGCTTGATTCAACATGTGTTTCCAGAAAACTAGATATCTCTTTCACTTCAGGTGGAGCTGTGGGCAACTTAACCAAAGACTTTAAATTTGAAATCCTACATATATGTTGAAGAATAGTTAATGGAATTTGATCTGCATAGAACCAAAAGATTAGTTCTGAAATTGTGAAACAAACAATGAATAGAAGCTCACCAACTGAGTTGTTGTTCCCAAAGCTTGAAAAAATTCCATTAAGTCTTTCATAAGCCCATGTGGCACAGGATGGGGCAGGTCCCCAGCACATAAAAAGTTCAGGGATATGAGTTGACATGTGGTGATTTGGCTTTGCATCTACATCAGGATACATTTTTCTACTGATCTGGCGGTACTTTGCCCAATGTCTTGTGAAATCAGCACCAGATTGTGAGTTAGTGGTCCAACTAGTTGAGATATTCAGAGAGCTGATGAGATGAAGAGTATTATGATAAATATCCTCTGGAAAAGGTTCTTTTTCTTTTTCTTTGATAATCATTAGCATTGGAATATAAAGCTTGTAAAGGAGTAACCATTCAGCTGCCTTCAAGCTTCCATGGGTTTTATCCCCAATATTCTTAGGCACTCTTGTCCAGTCTGAGGGGATTGATGTTTGATTGATTAATTCTCGCAAACATTCCAAAAGTTCAGGGTTAAACTTGAAGTAAGTGGGTGAATACTGATTTGTATCAGGTTGAAATTCTGAGCTTGGATTATCTGTTGAAATTGGTACATAGTCCAGGTCATCATGATATCTTTCAGTCAGATTTGATGTTGGGGGTAATACGTTTTTTCCCTTCTGAGATGGAGTGTGTTGACTTGTACTGGCTACTGGATTTGGTTGAACCCTTTTTGCAGGAAGATTATGAAGATCATCTGCTGCTTCTCTGCGCAAGACTCTTGCAGCCCTTGAATCAATATGTTTTTCAGTGTAATGATAAAATATTTCCTCTTCACTTTCTGAATCATCAGAGCTTCCACTATCTGTGTCTTTTGATTTTTTGACACGATCCTTCCAATCTTTTGGTGCAAGTCGCAGTTTGTTCTCAGCATGGTCCCTCAATGCTCCCAGAATCATGTTGTGCATTATGTCCAGATTAATCATACGTGTTGCATCCCAGTAAGGAAGTTCTTCAAGTATTGAGTAGCGCACACCAGTCTCTTTGAAAATATCTTCACGCTCTTTTTTTGAGCTAGCATTGAGCCATTTGGTAACATTTTCCTTGTGTTCTCGAAGGTTTCTTGCTTCCCATGAGAAAGGCTGGACTATATTCCTATCTTCCTTGGAAATAGTGCAGAAATTGCAGAACATTGTTGCTGAATGCCCTTTGAATCCAGAAATTTTCCTGATTGCTGGAAGGTCAGCAATCACTGTTAACATGGCAACTCTAATTTTGGCTCCTTGTGGGAATTTATATGTTTGGGAAAAAAAAACACCTTCCCAAAGCTCCTTGAGCTCTTGAATAAGTGGAACTAGTAAGTTGTTCAATTGAGGTCCATCTGGCTCCTTGGGTCCGGGAAGGATTGCTGCAACATACACATTTTCAGGTTTGAGGCGCTTCTCTGGTGGGAGGTTCAAGCATACAAGTATCAAGGTTCCAAGACTAGCATGTCGGCTTGACTTTCCAAAAGCATTGAACCAGTCAACATAAAGTGCAAAGGCCAAGTTGCCAGTTTCAGATAAGAATGGATGTCTCTCATTTTTTCCAGAAAATTTCTTCCAGATGTATCCATCCCAAATATCTGTCATTGTTGTTTTTGGTTCCTGTTGAAGATGTATTGAAAGATCCTCCTCAATTCCAGGCTGTAGCAGAAATCTTGCCAACCAGCTCTTGAAAGGTTGATAAACAAAGTGCTTGATTGCCTCAAATTTGGCTTCTTGTTTCCCTCTTGGTTTCTCCTTGACATTGGTTGAGGTTTTCATCTTGCCAATTTGTGTTTGGCATGGGCCATCAAGGTCATAATTTTGAAGATGCCGCTGACAGGTTATATTTGGATCAGTTATTTTACTTTCTAATCCTACCAGATATAAGCAATTTGGACAGCATGCATAGATATCTATGTCTGGGTTAAGGTTGAGCTGATCAAAGATAGTTGATGTACTGAGGGGAACTTGACCAAGGTGATCAATTGAGCTTGGAGAAAATTCTGAGACCACTATTCTATTTTGGACATTTAATGCTTTGACAAGAACTCTTGCAGCTTCTCTACTGATATTGTGACACAAATTGAGCATTGAGGTGATAACCATTGGGTAGACTAAATGGCGCTCATTTTGTTTCCAGGAATAGTTGGCCCATTTGTCCGTGAAAAATATTGGAATTTCACTACCAGGATGAGGCTGTTCAGCTGGAGTAATAGAAGTTGGCTGACCAGCTATATTGTATGGTGTTGTTTGAATTAAATGTTGAGCTGAACTTCTCTTGGATGAATGATTTTGGTTTGAGGTGTTGCTGTGATTAAATTCATTTTGAGTGGGTCTAAAGATAGGGTTGGATGTATGAATTTCATATTTGGTTTTGGTGAAGGGAACACCTTGCCTAAGGCCATAAGGGGTCATAAATTGCTTGGTGCCACAGGTTATACATGTGCAAATAACATAGCCACGAGGGAAGGGGGATGCCATTTTACGATCAGTCAAAGAGTTGTGGGCCAAAATCCTCACAAAGAGTACATCTCTTATATATTCAATCCACATGGAGAACAGGCCAACAGCTATGACAGTTGAAAATTTGGAATTCCTTGTTACACCGGGAAAAATAGAGAGACTTGGAATGTTTCAATTATGCATAGTAGATAAGCAAGTTTTCATTTATTCAAAGATAGGTAAAAGGGTCTGAAACAATTTCAAATTTAAGTTAAGATAGGTGATGTTTTAAGATAAGGAAAATAGTCTGAGACAAATTCTGATTGGAGATAAGATAGATAGTGTTTCAAGACAAAGAAAACGGTCAGGCAAACTGATGAGATGTTGTATAAAATTAAACAGATCTTGTTTGAAGATAAAGTGGTGCCAATATCAAATAGATTTTGTTTAAAGATAAGAAAGAGAGAAAACTTTTCTTTAGAAAAAAAAGAAGAAAAAAAGGTAAAAAATATTGCAGAGGGATGGAGAGAACAATTAAATGTTTTGAATTTTAGCTGCAGGGCAATCAGATCTCCTGGGAACATCTAAAATGTGTTCACCTTCAGGTTGGGATTTAAGCCAATGTTCACAAAAGTCAGGTACAATGTATCTGGCAAGATCATAGCGTGAAATAAGAACAGGAGTGAATTCGTTGGAAGAAAAGAAAAAATGATTGATGATAGAACATATATATGCATTTGTTCTCTTCCAAACAGGTTCAATAATTGAATCTTCAGATGGTGGCTCAATCTTGTTTACCATAGCCACAATTGAAATCAACAAGAAACATTTTGATGCTGAAAAGATTGATGAATCGTGAGGAGTTAGAAGAAGCCCACGAACACCAGAAACGCAGAATGAGGCTAGTAATCCATAATGAGGCCGGGAAATGTGTTCAGCTGGAAGTTCGGACCACTGGGGTGAATAGCGCATGAGGGAATGTTCGGATTGATGCATTTTACAGCGAGCTTTGAGGACTGAAAAAGCCAGGAGCATTTGATGAATGATTTTGATAAACTTGTCAAGAGAAGCAAAACTAGTTTTACTTTTACTAGAATTGGATTGGGAAGATTCATTGATTTGATTTGAGTTTTGAGAGTTTGAGAGGCAGCAAATGAAATACTTGATCATTGAAATCTCTGGGCCAAGTTCATTGGTAGGGTCTGTCGGCTTCTCGTATACTGGAAGAGAGTTGATGTCGTTTGAAACAAGCGATACAGCCTGAAAGAAGATTGCAGCCCACTTATGTTGGATCCTATCGGTTGGGTAGCAAAGGATTGTGAAGAGAGAAAATAGTTCAGATCCAATTTCTTGTTTGGCTGAATCTTGGCCACTATTGGTAGGAAAATTCCAAACATCAGGTCGGAAAAACGGTTCGTTTGAGCTTGGTGAAAAAACGTTGGGACCTGTGGTTTTAAAGAGTGAATCATCAGTTGCATTCCAATACCAAAATGAAAAAAATGGAATAGAATGTACCTTCTCGCCTCAGATTCTTAACCCAGCCTTTGAGTGAGGTAGTGCCAAGAGGGTTGAAATGAATTCTTGAAGACAGAGTATTACTATAGCTACTTGCAGGCTCCAATTTTCGTGTCCTTGAGTTATAAAGTTGAATGACAGAATCCAGAGCAGTCTTATATCCTTTATAAGTGATGCTGGTGGAGTAAAGCTGGTGCAGTGATGCTAGAACTTCTCGATGCTTCTTAGTGATTGGAGCTGAGGTGAGGGTTTCAGTTCTGCCGTGGTTTTGATCTTGAGAGGGGTCTTCATTGTTTGCTTGGGTTTTATTAGTTTGGTTGATTGATGTCTCTTCGAGAGTGAGCAAAGTTTCTTCCTGTCCAAGGTGATTTGCCTCTTGACCGATTTGCGTTTCTTCTTCTCTGATTTGATTTTTTTCAGGGTGGATGTCATCTTGGTTGAGTTGAGTTTCCCCTTTGAGTTGAGTTTCCTCTTGATCGGGTTGAGTTTCCTCTTGATCGAGTTGAGTTTCCTCTTGATCGAGTTGAGTTTCCTCTTGATTGAGTTGAGTTTCTTCTTGATGCACAACATCTTTGTTAAGTTGAGTTTCTTCTGGATGGGTCTGAATTGGTTCTTCGTTTGTCTTTTGATTTTGAGGCGATGGCTTTTCTAAACCAGGAGTGAACTTGTGACGTATCTTTTTGGTTGGTTTATTTGAGGCACTCGAGTTATTGCGCTTCTTCAGGAGATTTTGATGGCCAACTTGAACTTCTTCTTTTTCTGGAAGTTTCTCTCCATTCTTCACAACTTGAAAAGAGAGAAAAATAATCATAAGTATATCAACAAAGTGGAAAGTAGAAATGAATCAAGAGTTAAAACGTGCCATCTCTAGACTTGTCCATGGCCTCAATTACTTTTTGAGTAAGAACTCTGATACTCAGTGGAAGTGTCTTGTCATCCAAGGCATCTTTGAAGGCCTGGCGTTTTCGCTTGATGTTTTCAAGAAAGGCTTCTGGAGTTATTATTGATATTTCGTTGTCCTCGAATAAATTATTTGGGTTTGACGGAGGGAGTGGGGGATTTCTGGTGGAGCTGGAGGCTTGATTTGTTGAAACTTCAGGCCAATGAGGTTCTGGCAGGACTATCTCTGAGGGAAACAATCAGAATGAATGAATTAAATTAAAGCAGTTGAATGATTGAGAGCTTACTCTTGACTGAATCTATCACACATTCCTCGCTAGCTGATTTTAATTGTTCTTCAAGTATTTCCAAGTCGGTAAGATCAGAGTCCGAGTGGGTGTTAAGTTCATCCATTTTTGGAAGTTGAGATTGAGGGATAGGAATTAGTTATTTGTGAAATTGATCCAGAGTTGCTGAGTGCACAATATGGAAAGTGGGAGTTTGGGAAGGTGATAATGATACGGGTTGAAGAGAGGACGGATGGGTCATACCCAAATCAGGTTTGTTTGTTATGCATGCACACTTGTTTAATGACTCATTATGCATATATGCTTGCTTGACAGAGCATTCACCATGAAAAGTGATAGAAAATTTATTCGATCATTGAGAAAATATGGACTTACCAAAAACCTTTTCTCTAACCTGAGCATCACGTGCTGTTAAGCCCCCCAAAACAAGGTCTGTTTTCTTCAAAGCTAAAACACAAGAATCGTAGAATGTCTTGTTTATCTGAACAGAAAATGCAAACCGGGAGAAAGGACTATCCGAAGGCTTCTGGGATTTGACAGTTTGGTGGTAAAGGAGATTTGAGGCCCAGAAGAGGTCCGTCCATCCATCCATTGCATTGAAATCAACTACAGTTGATATACCTGGAAGAACGAATTGTCCATATTCAACATCGAATCCATCTGCTTGAGATGCTGGTTTCCCAGTCTGTTGATTGATTCCACACCATCCACCATAGGAGATTGAGTTGACATCGTTGTCAATGTGGGCTTCATTGTAGAATTCACCCCAATTTGCTGTGAGGTTTGATGCATATGCTGAGGGAGAAGACTTATCAAATTCTGTTGCGGAGAAGCTGGGTAAGTTAGCCGATGCCATCTTCTGGACAGAGTGCTGAAACAACCCAGGGGAAAGCTTTTCAAAACGCTGAGATATAATGAAATCAACCCTTGGTAATTTGAGAATAAGGTCTTTCCAGAGATGATAATCCTCTTCCGTTTCTATTTTTGCTGGAGTATAAGTACCTGATGAGACAAAATGAAGGAGAGATGTAAGTTTTTTTGAGTACATAAAATCAAAACAGTCTATAATCATATCCATACCACTATATTCTCCATTATTCCCGTATCCTTTCCTCCATCCAAAAGCCTTCATGATCCCACCCAAGAATGATCCGTTTTTCTGGTTGTTGTAGAATCTTCCAAGTTGCACCAATGTTGTTGTCAGGAATTCAATATCTGCAATTTCATTTGGTAGCATTTCAGACCATTTGGTTTGCTTGACAAAGAGGCCAAGTTCACGGGATTGGTTTGTCAGGATTATAGTTGGTTGATGTGGTTGTATCCAATGTTGAGCTGTTTGAAGGAATCTCTGGGTTTCATCTACTTCTTCCACTTCTGGACATCTGATTTCAATGGCGGGAGTGAGTTGATCCAACTGAAGAGTGGTGCAGGGGTGATTTTCACCTATAGATAGTTGAGATTTGGGGTCAAAGACAATTTGTTGGACTGAAAACTCATGGGTGGCCTGGTTCCCACGTGGAATAAGCACTTTTTGAGTGGGGATTAGAGCGTGATCCATTCGATTTTCCTCAGAGGGGGAGAGTAGAAAAGCTGTGTTGGGTAATTTCAGATTGATTGGACAGGTGAGTTTGAAAACCAAAACTTTGATTGTTCTGATGAGGATTGTGATGGAACAAAAAAGGAGTTGTTCAGGATGAAAAAAATTCAGAAGAGAAATAAACCGGTGACTCATTGCAACACGCTTTGCTTTTCTGAATTGGGGAGGCTGAAAAGAACATGTTTCACATTTCAAGCTTCAAGTTTGGATGAAACATGAAGGACTGGATTCATTAAGGAACTCTTGAAACACACTTCATTTTTTCGCACTAGAATGAATGGTGAAACATTCTGAAAATGTGGAAGCCCAAATTTGCAACAGTACATTTGGGTAATCCTGCAAGGTGGCAATGTGTTCCCACAGCGAGCTGGTGATAGTGTAGTCTCATGTCGGATTACACGTAATCCGACATGAGACAGGACCACATCACAACCTGGCTTGCAGGGTGGCTCAGTTCATCCGGGTCAGCGGCAGCAAGCTGGTCCAGAAGTACATGGGTGAAGGCTCGCGGATGGTCAGAGAGCTCTTTGTGATGGCCAGAGAGCATGCGCCGTCGATCATTTTCATGGACGAGATCGACTCGATCGGAAGCTTGCGTGCGAGAGCACGGCCGCAGCGGGGCCGAAGATATCGGCTTATTGAGATCAAAAGTGGTCATTCGTTGCTCAACTTGCTCCATGAGTCCCATGAGCTCCAAGACTTCAATTCCGGGAGCCACGAGACTGATGGTGTGTCCTCCTGGTCAAAGACTTGCAGAACGCTTGAGAACGGTCACCTGTATTCCGGCCTTGGATAAATGTGAACTTGTTGATTACATAATACATGAGATTCTCAGTGCAACGAAGAAAGAAAAAGGCGGGAGAAAATGGATGGATTTACAAATGAAGGATATTGTATAAGTTCTATCAGACAAAGAAAAAACCAACTATTAGTTAGCCTGAGTCCAGCTTGATTGACACACCAAACTGACCATAGAAAACTACAAAAAAAAAGAGTCCAATTGATTAGAGAGAGAGAGAAAGGAAGAGAGGGTCAAGAATGGTGAAGAAAGACAGAGCCGAGAGAAGCCGAGTTTTTAGAAGAAGAAGAAGAGTCGAAGCCAAACAGCAGGCAGTCATGATGAGGGCTCGAAGAGGTGAGTCTACCGAGAGAGAGGGGGGAAGGAAGTAGGGGCAGATGGAGGGGCAGATAAGTGAGGAGAAACGAGGGTGCGGTTTCCGGGTGAGCGGGGGAAGAAGGGAGGGCCCTTGGCCGTCACCGATGCTAACCTCCTCCTCGGCAGATTGATCCCGGAATACTTCCCCAAGATCTTCGGACCCAACGAGGATCAGGAGTTGGATGTGGAGGCCTCCCGCTGTCTTTTCGAAGAATTGAGGACCACTATCAATCGCGACTTGAACCAGGAACTCAGTCTTGATCAGGTTGCTTGGGGGTCGGTTTTTGTCTCTAGGATTTCCCACCCAGGTCTCTCTAAATCGTGCAACTAAAGCCCACATCGGATTTGTACGTTGTAGGTTTATTAAGATTGCCAACGAGACCATGTGTCGGCCGATTCGAGCACTAACAGAGGCGCGAGGATATGCGAGTTCGAAGCACATCCTGAGTGTGTTTGGGGGCGCGCGCGGGCAGCATGCATGTTTGTTAGCCCGGACACTCGGGATCACTCGGATCGTCATCCATCGCCATGCGTCGATCCTGAGCGCCTACGGAATGGCCCTTGCCGATCGCGTCGTCGAGGCCCAACTTCCCTCCGCTACCATCTATCATTCAGCCGGTCATAGTAGACTTGGGCTTGAGAAATCTCTCGATGCTTTGCAGGAAAAGGTCTGTCTGACTCTCACCAATCAGGTGTTTCGAGGAGAGTCGGATCGTCGTCGAACGTTACTTGAATATGAGGTCCATCTTCATCATTAACTTCCTCCACAAAATTAAAATAATTCTCATCGTCATTTTTCTCGATTTCAATTTTTTTAGGTATGATGGAACGGATACAGCGTTAATAGTCCTCGACCAATCCACAAAACCTTCTTCTTCTTCTCGTTCCGTTCATACTAAAGAATCTCTAAAAAATGACGATGAGGAAGCAGGAAAGGGATATGATTATTTGGAAGGCTTTCGGGAAGCTTATCTCAAGGAATTCAGCTTCCTTTTGGATCGCTCTATTCCGGTGATTTGTGATGATGTTCAAGTGCGTGGAATCGGCAAATCTACGTCTGTTTTTTTTTTCTTCTTCTTCTTCTTACACCCTTCTTTTTTCTTCTTTGTATATGGTCGAATTCCATATCTCGAAAAAATCATGGGGTTGACTGGATTTGTTTGGGCTTGTAAAACACCTTTTGTAGAGAAAAGCCAGGGGAATTGGCGGATGCTCAACTATCGAAGATTGAGTTCAAGTCATTCGACATCAATCGTATAGACTCCGAGAAAGATAATGAGCCCGATCGACGAAGATATCAGTCGATCTTTTTCGAAGATTTAGGCCGAGTTGAGACTCCCATCTTAGCTCTAGAATGGTTCGGAGTGGGCGATTATCTGGTCGGCCCGGCCGGATGTATATCGTGGATGCGGAGGGAGCCCATGAGGAGCGGGGAAGCCAGGACGGCTTGCAAGCGGCTGTGCGGTTCTGAGCCGGGGCCAATCTGAGGATGGTGAGAGGGCGATGAGATTTGGAGTTCGACTTGGAAGGGCACGCCAACGACGATCGGCCGGGCGTCCCGGAGCAGCTCGGCCTTGAAGAACCCGCTCTGCGCAACGACTGTCGGACAGCCCGAGCTCTCGATTCCCAGCTCGTCGGTCTCGTCGGCATTGGCGTCGTCGTTGTCGGCTCGTCGGCTTCGATCCGCCTTCTCACCCGCCCCCGCCCGCCCATCAAACTCGTCCAGCTTATCTCTAGCTCATACTGTCGTACATTCTCTTGCTTTCTCCTTCTTCCTTTTGCAGACACTTTGAATGTGTATTGGCGGATATCTCCAGGCATGATCTGCTCGTCACTCTCCGCTCCTGTTGGTGTTCGTGTCGCGCAGTGTTTCAATTGGATCTGCTCTATCTTTCTTGTGATCGATTCTCCTCCTTCTTCTTGATTGTCTTGGGTTTGGTCTGGAGGCAAGAGGTTCAGGGTGAGAGTGAGGAGCGGCTTGGTGGTTTGGTTTTGGATTTGGATTTCCAGGTAACATGAATCATTCAAGCTTCCATTGTTTCATAGTGATGATAAGGCTGTGTCGTCGTAATGATGATCATGAGCTTCGATTTCAGCAAGCACTTTCTTGAGAGATTCGAGCACCCGAGTCTCCTCTAACACTGATGATGATGATGATGATGAAGACCTGTATGTCTTGGTCTTGATTCCTAAGGGATTGAGTACTTGGAATTTGTATACTAAGAAGATCGACTCGAGATCTCAGATGTTGTTTACTGCTCCAGAAGATGTTAGTAAATTGCTCACGTTTCCTGAAGCTTCTGGTTTGGGGTTCTGATTCAGGAGTGATTTGAGAGTCGGCTGGTGTAAGTTCTTGATCTTCTTCAACTTTTCGTATCTCGGGTGAAGATGAACTAGAAGAGGGGCTTTCAGTCTCATTGAACGAGGTGGTTCTGCCCATCTTTGCAATGGGTAATCTTCAAGACAGACAGGAAAGAGAAGCAAACGTCAGATAGAAAATTCATATTCCATTCGATTGCAGGTCAGTTTATGTGCTCACTTACCTCGGTATGTTCTTCTTGAATTTTGTCGGCGATTGAAGCGAATGCAGGTAGTGTGAAGGAAGAAAAGGGTAAATAAGAAATAGAAAAATAAAGTAGTGAGTACGGCTGTTTAAGGAGAGTGGGTTGTTTAGTTCTTTCTGTTTGAAGAGTTGAATAAAGAAATGAACGTGGTCGGTTGAGCTGTAAAGGGTGCTCGATACAAGGGTTGAGAGAAGAGTAGGAAATAAGGAGGGGAGTAAGAATTGAGTCTAATGTCTAGTCCAGAGGGCTAGAAACAGGATGTTTTGTTCACTCCCGAGTCCCGGCCACTCGTTACGACAATCGAACAGCAATCATCATTTCTCCAGAGCCGAATGTGGTAGGACTGGCTGGCTTGACGGTGTTTAAGAAACTACGACTCAAGATGTCAATGGATCAGGATGAAGGCTAGTTCTTCCTCTCAGTGCTTTGTGTCGGGTGGAATCATGAATGTCAAGATGAGGTTGATTTGAATCTGAGTTATGCTCTGAGCTGGGGCTGCGGCGCACAGCAATATGAGCAGCAGCCTGCCGCAGTCCATGTCGGATTACGCGTAATCCGACATGAGAGTACCATACAAGCTCTCTTGTATTTCTGAGTTGTGGCTGCGGTGCACAGCAATATGAGCAGCAGCCAGCCGCAGTCCATGTCGGATTACGCGTAATCCGACATGAGAGTACCATACAAGCTCTCTGAGGTCTTTCTGAGTTGGGGCTGCGGCGCACAGCAATATGAGCAGCAGCCAGCCGCAGTCCATGTCGGATTACGCGTAATCCGACATGAGAGTACCATACAAGCTCTCTGAGGTATTTCTGAGTTGTGGCTGCGGCGCACAGCAATATGAGCAGCAGCCAGCCGCAGTCCATGTCGGATTACGCGTAATCCGACATGAGAGTACCATACAAGCTCTCTGAGGTCTTTCTGAGTTGGGGCTGCGGCGCACAGCAATATGAGCAGCAGCCAGCCGCAGTCCATGTTGGATTACGCGTAATCCGACATGAGATTTTGGTGCATCTGCTCTTTTTTTATCTCCTAGATTCCTCTTATGAATGAATTGCTTCCCACAGCATTATACTTTTGCAAGAGGCTGCACAGACATCTCTCTGAGATAAAGGAAAGTGCCAACAATGGCAATGATGCACCACAGTCCAATTTTAGATTGCATTGAATCTGACATGAGACAGTTGTACATCACACCTGTCAGAGGAAATATGCAGAAGTTGCAGAAGCAAATTTTGATACTTGTTTCCAACATTCAAAAACATGTGTCATTTTCAGTTGATTGTATTAGGTTTGACTATGAAAATAAATATTTATACCCCCCATTTGCCAACGATATCCCTCTTCCTTCCTCTCATGAACAATACCTCAGACTTCTCTCCATCCTCAAGTATACCCCTCCATAAATATTTTCAAGATATGGAGAATTCTTATGGCTGCCTTGGCATTATCTATTCTCCACTTGCACATCCTATCCCTCAGGTGGCCACAGAACTCTTGAAGATAAGAAAAACTTTTTGGGCTTCTCTCGAGCCTTGTGATCAGGAAATATTAGTCCGGATCCCAAACCTCCCAACACATGTTGGCTATATTCCCTTCCCACTTAACTCAGTGCTACTAAATTACCTTACTAGTGCTACTGGATTTGGCCCACTTGGTGGATTGAAATTGACATCATTATTAAATTGTAGTATGACTGTTGAAACCATCCTACGGGCAGATCCCACCCCTCCAGCTACATTGAACTTGGCACTCACCATTTTCCTGCCAAAAAATATGATTAATCCAGTTTACAGCTCATTCATTCAATATAGTATGTTTCCACAAACACCACAGGATTATCAGCCCAGTCAGCACCTTGGCATCCAACTCTTGAAAATCCCACCAGACCTCATTCCACCACCAGAAGAAATCTCCACAAAAATAAACTTTGACCCCCAGCTGCTGTCAATACCAAGTGGATGTGATCTTCCATATATTCATCCACCAAGTACAATAGTTAAATCTGTTTTACTACCCCACCAAGCACAAGGACTCTCTTTTATCTTGGACCGCGAAAGCCCAACATCCACATCTGCACAATCCCTTTGGGTTCAACAAAAAAACAATGAATGGTATCTCTGGAAGAACAAGATTAATGGTACACAACTAGGATTCTCTAATCCAAATAGTTTTCCAGAGACTCCATTAGGTTCAATCCTTGCTGATGATATGGGGTTAGGAAAATCACTACAAGCCATTTCCCTCATTGCATGCACCTTAGATCAAGCGAAAGAATCCTCCTTAACCACTCCCAATTCATCAATACAATTGAATCAATCCCATGCCACTCTCATCATTTGCCCAGCACGGCTCCTCACAAACTGGTATCAAGAAATTCAAAAGCACACACATGAAAATTCCTTGATTGTTCTTAAATATCATGGATCTCAGAGGCACTCGACTTCCAAGATATTGACTCCTGCAGTAAACATCATAATAACCACTTATGAAATAGTAAGAGCTGAGTTCCAGCAATACCAAAACACTTCACTCAGGAGTGAATCTTCAATTTTCTCAAGGATATGGTTCCGTATCATTCTTGATGAGGCTCAGTGAGTGATATTAAGGTTTTTAATTGTCAATAATAATTATCCATCTCATTCTAAGTTCCCATTTCAATCCAGCACCATCAGAACAACAGATTCAAAAACTCAATCAGCAATTCAGTCTATCCAGGCAAACAGAAGACTATGTTTGACTGGGACACCACTGCAAAATTCTTTGCATGATGTCATGGCTCTCCTCAATTTCATTTGCTCAAACCTAAAAACACCTCATAACAATTGGATGGAAGTTGTTTCACCATACCTGAAGAATGGGAATGTTAAGCCATTGCAGCTCATTCTCAGACATGTTATGTTACGCAGAATGAAGAGTGTGGCACTACCCAATCTACCAGAGATCATTCATAAAACAATGAACACACCACTGACCCCACCCAGTCGCAAGTACTATGATGAACAATTTGAAGAATTCCAGAAATCATTCCAAAGAAAAAATTGCTCAAAAAGCAAGAAAGAAGGAAAATTCTTTTCTTATCTTAATACTCTCAGAGGAATATGTGACCACCCACTCCTAGCTGATCCTAATTTGGATTTGAGTGACAATAAAGAATCTTTTGAAATCAATCAAGCCAAATCTCATGAAAATTTGATAAAAACTGACCAGATAATCAGGCATGAAGTCTCTTACACAGCATGCTACCAAAGTCAAAAGATTGTGCAGCTTTGTAGAATGCTTGAACAAGGGTCAAAACTGATGGATGAAAATCCAAAAGTTGTTATATTCTCTACATGGACACGGTTTTTAGATCTGTAAGCTTCTTGATTGGTTCACTAATTTACCTGCCATAAATTCTAAGCCAGAATGTAAAACATCTTAGTATAGGAATTGCCCTTGACAGGCATGGCATCAAATTTTTAAGATTGGATGGTTCAATTGATTCTAGATCACAAGATAGATGCTTGAGTGATTTCTCTACCAGCCTGAACACAAATGTTCTAATTGCATCCCTACAAACAGCTGGTGTTGGACTGAACATTACCTGTGCAAGTATTGCCTTCATCATGGTAAGTCAAATTAACCCCAAGTACAAATGTTGCCCAGTGGTAATTTGTTTCTCTAGGAACCACACTGGAACCCAACTGTTGAAGCTCAAGCTGTTGACCGACTTCACCGAATTGGACAGACCAAGAAAGTTTGGGTTTTTCATTTTGTGACCCCAAATACCATTGAGGAAAAAATAATTCATGTGAGTTGGATTAATATGAATTTCAAATATATATTTTATAATATATATATATATTTATTTATTGAGATGATTTCATTCACTATATGTATAGGTACAAAATAAAAAGAAACAGTTGGCCCAGTGAGTATTTTCGGAATAATAGTACACAGATTTTTGATTCTGATTTAGGATCGAGAGAAACAGGTCAACTATCTTGCCCACTATGGATTGGAGAGAGTTGTTGCAAGAGATTCTATCAAGCTGAGACAAAGAGTAAGGTTTGAACCACAGAATTTTATCTTCTAGTGGCAGTGTAAGGTTTAAAATCTTGACTCATGATTATAACATCTCTTATTTTTAGATCTTTCCGGGTAATTTCTGTTAATTTTTTTAACCACTCCTCTGAATATACCTGCTTAGAGAGTTTATCTGGAATACGTGGATCCTCCTCTGTTTTTTCAGCCTCTTCACGCTTTGTAAATTTTTTCTTCCTCTTTGATTTACCTATTCTTGTCCCCACACAGATCTCATGGTCAATTGTTTGAACCAAAGTAGAGAACCCTTTAGAGCGCCACTCCAATTTTTTTTTTCTATGCCTTGTTACCCCATTCACCACAAATTCTTCAGTATCGGAGCAGACAGCTGAATCATTGAACTGGGCTGCAAGTTCAGGATACCCATTCTCATCGCACCACTCCCTCCTTCGCTCTGCAAGCTTTTTGCCCATACCAAATCCTCTCAGTAAAAATGCACAATTTTGAAAATGTGGAACACAGCTTGAACAAACATACCCTTGTCCGGTTTTTTACAGCCCTGTTTCGTGACTTCTGTGCTTCCAATGCATTCTCACCACCCTTCTGGAGCAATTTCCACTGAGACTGTAGGTGGATGAAGTACCTCTCAAGTATTGTATGGATGATTGCGTGTGTTGAGAGGGCTGGTATCCAAATTGTGTCGTTGTATTCTCCAGAATGAAGGGCCATGCTGATAGTCCGGTAGAATAATAGATCCATGAGCTGGTTGAAAGGGTGTTTCCAGGAGCTTTCCCAATTGAAGGTGAAGCGAGTTAATCCAAGAGTGCGTATCTGTGTTTGAATCCAGCTCTTATATGCATGAGTGTGGGTGCTTTGACTGGATGGAGCAGTTGGAGGTGGTTGATCGTAGGCCTGACTTTTCCCCCTCTGAACTGCAAGGTCTCGCTCCTCCGAAGTTGGAGCAGAAGGAAGACTCTTGAGATCAGTTCCAATAAGGCCAAGGAGTAATTGTGCGTGCCTGTGGACAATATTCTTCATGGTGTCCGATCCCTCAGGCAGAGAACCATTTAGTTCTTTCATCCTTTCCTTCTTGGTTGTCCTTTTTGCAAAGGCAGATTCCTTCTTCCTAATTCCTGTGTTTCTTCGGGCTTGTGAATCTGCTGCGTAGTCCTCTGGTTCAGAATCAGATTCATCTTCATCTCCTCGACCTCGACCTCGACCTCGACCTCGACCTCCACCTCCACCTCCACCTCCATCTCCACCCCCACCTCCACCTCCACCTCCACCTCCACCTCCGCCTCCGCCTTCGCCTCCACCTCCGCCTTCGCCTCCACCTCCGCCTTCGCCTCCACCTCCGCCTTCGCCTCCACCTCCACCTCCGCCTTCGCCTCCACCTCCGCCTCCGCCTCCAGCTCCACGTCTGTCTGTGCCTCTGTCTCTGCCTCCACCTCCACCTCCTTGGCCTCCAGATCCTCCAGCAATTTGTGTTGAGTTTGAAGAATCTTTAGTTGGGTTTTGTGGAAAAGATGCTTTTGGCGGTGGTTGTGGTTGGAAAGAAGTCTTGGTTTGTGGAGTTGGGAAGGGTACCGAACGCCAAGCTGGTGGTTCCTGATTTCCTGAGGGAAGTGGCTTGGGATCCAAATGATCTTTTGGGCCTAAGTCGGAAGCAAAGGTTCTTGTGGAGCGTTGTGGAATTGGGGAGTCTGAAGATGGGTTGGGATTAGATTCAAGTATCTCTTTTGAGAGCGGGTGTGGACCAGAACGAATTCGAGCTAGTTTTCTTGAAGAAATTTCATGGCTAGAATATCCAATGCTGAATTTATTTTGGTCTTCAGCATCGTTTTTCTCCCTTTGGATTGTTTCAACTACAAAAATAGAATAGAGGAGATTCAGAGAAATTTTAGATGCAATAATTCAGTGAAGTATTGATAACATACGTTCAAAATCCATCTGTTGATCAACTTCTTCTCTTTCTATAGCCTTTCCTTTTCCCTTCTCATGCCGCTCCACTGGAGATGATGGCTCACCAACTTTCCAAGGGGGAAAATATGAGCTATACATATCTAAAAGGGACTACTTAATTACTTCAGAAAGACTTACAGCCAAAAGTTGATTTAGATGTGTTCCAACCCCAGCCGTGACTTGTATCCTCTTTATCCAGGCATGTACGCTTTGAAGTCTCCCCCACTTGCATGAAATGAAAAACAAACCAATTTTTAAGCTATGGAACATACAGGTAGATGCCAACAACATAAAACTTACCTTTTTTTGAAAGGGTTTGAAGAGGTTCACCAAACTGCCTTGATGTAAAAACTCCACCTGATCGCACCGCTTTATCAATTAGCCTCTTTCTACTCTTGATCAGTTCTTCATGCATCCTCTTTGGACCCTTCATCAGACTTCCGAATTCCTTTTTATTGAATGTTCCACGAAGAGGTAAAGATTGCATCCGTTTACGGTTTTCCATATTAGGTGGATTGAGCCTTGACAGGTAGGGTTCTGGATCAGTTCCCCCACCTCCCCGATTGAGTGGTGTCCTTTGAGGACCTTCCCTCCATCTCTCAATCATATCATCTTCAAATAAAACAATTGAATATCAGATAATTGACCACAAATCATTTGAAATGATGAAGTTGCTTGGATCTTACTCTTATCCTTCTCGTGTCTTGAAAGAACTGCAGTTTTTCTTAAAATCTCAGACCTCCTTCCAAACTCTTTTGAAAGTGCAGCCACTTTATCTTGAATCCATCAAAAATCAGGAATCAACGATTAAATTGAAACTATATTTAAATAAAAACATACCCTTATCATTTTTGTCATGTTCTGAAACATGGAATGGTTGCCAAAAATCATCCTGCAAGTCTTTCTTTGCACGTTCCACCAGTGAAATTGATTCCCTCTTATTGGATGATCCAGAATCATCACGAGCCACTTCATTCTCATCTGTTGTTCAATTTCAATGTTTATTCAGAATAAAAGGTAGCATCACAGTGTCTCAGGTTATACTTTATATTGTAATAATAGCCTACCTGCATCCGCATCAATAATGAATCCACCAGAAATTTGTTGTTCACCAAGCTCGATTGTTTTTTTTTTGGTTTCAGAATCATCGATCCACTTGTTTCTTGTTGGTGAGTCAACTGATAATATAATTCAAATCATTATACAATCAAATCATCTGAGATTACTGGTGGATGGTTAAATTTCTTACTATCTTCGTCTGAATCCATCCTCCAGTCATCCCAGTTCAATTCACGCCGACTTGATTCCTCCAGAGGTTTCTCATTCCATCCCTCCCAACCAGTTTTCTCCATAGCAAAATTTTCATTCCAATTAATGGGAACTGAAGCACCTTGACCCGTCCGATTTAATTCCAATTGAGATGCACCAAGAGGATGGAAATCTTCACTTTCATCACCTGCAATAGGTAAAAAACATGTCAAATTCCACACTGAATTATTCTGTTTAAAATGAAAACTTACTCTCATACAACTCCCTCTGTTGACGCTTCTCCCAAGCACTTTGATCCTCTTCACTGCTATCTCCATCACCCCGAATGGTCAGTGATTTAGATTTTTGGTCCACCGCTGTGGTAAATAATACTGTGTTTCTACGCAGAAAATATAAAAATTTCTTATTATCTCTTTATTCATTCAAGATATGGTAAAAATGACATCAAAAATGGAATCCTCAGGTAAAATAACCCCTAGTCACCCACTACAACCATACCCTTATCTCTTATAGTTTAGAAGTTACACAGATTTCAACCTGTCACGGGATATTTCTTGGATTCTTCACTCTAGCCATAGTCATTATGAATACAGGATGCATATTGCATACTGAATACCTTTATGTTGTTTTGAATCCCTTTGTATTAGTGATATTGCATGTATGCGTCCCTTTGATCATACATATGCGTCCCTTTATTCATTCGTGTGCATCCCTTTGTAGTAGTATCATTCAGCCTGTACCCTGGGGCCAAAATCCCTCACATTTGTCTATATAAGGAGGCCTCTGCCTGCCAGTTGTTCCCTCCATCATCCCACCAGTGGATCACATCATCCCACCAGTGGACCAGATCATCTCAACCACCCTTATAAATAAATCCATCTTATATATTATTTCATAACTACAAGTCATAGCCACATTACAATTTCAGAATTATATACATTGAAATACAGATTTAACACTTTCATCATCATCATAAACCAAAAGTGCCCTGAACCATATTCATCAACAACAACTTCATCAATATAACCAACAGTCAATAACATCTTTATACCCTCACACATATCAATCGGCAGCTTCATCTCGAACTTATCCCTATCACTATATATAAAATTGCCAAGCTAAGCTTGGTGGTCTTGTTATTCTGATAGTATAGAAGGGCAGAGCTTGCAACTCCAACATACCCTTCTCCATTCAGCAAAAGGGTTTTCATAACCACTTTTGAGTCTTACAAGGGAGTCCCCAACGTGATAGGATAACCTCTGATTGGAATCGTGTGACCAATTTTAAACGAAACAAGAAGATAATCAAGAAGACATCGACCAAGGATCATTACTTTAGCGGAAAACGGAAGGAATTCATCAACCGTATTTGTAACAACTCAACGGCATATTCTGTTATTCTGTTGATCAACTAGTCAAACTTCAATAAAACAATTCAACGAAACAATCAACAAACCTCTGAAAAAGAAAGTGTAACCATCAACTGAAAACGAGTATCTCAAAGGAGGCAGCCAGTTATTGACCAAAAGAAGGAAGACCACCGAAGGATTTGGATAACTTGGATACTGTTTGAAGAGAACTTAGGAACTATTCGAAGGAAGCAGCTGCTTATTGACCAAAAGAAGGAAGACCACCGAAGGATTTGGATAAGTAGATCCTGTTAGAAGAAGAAATTCCCAGTATTATTTGAATTATTATTTTAGAGAATCATAAAACTTGCCCTGGTAAAGAGACCAGAGACCATAGTATTATTTGTTTCTTTTTCAGAGCAACCGTTAGTTTAGTTATCAGAGGAGCGTTAAGTAAGGAAAACTAGGAAAATCAATCACAATCAACATGAGTTTACCATTCAGTACACCAGATTTGGAAGACGGATTTGCACCATCAACCCCTTTCAGGAACCGACTTTTTGATCGACCTTCGGAATCATCTTCAGCTTTCAATTGGAATTCAGAGAACACGGTTCCACCACCACCAAAGGACAAAGGAAAAGGAAAAGCAACTCAAATGCGGGATACAACAGATGAAGACTCAGATATAGGAGATACTACACCTCAAGGAACAAATATACCTCCTGTGTCGGGATACGGAATACACAACACTCAAAATGCGGGAGAACCGGTTTATAATCAAGAAAAACAACAACCTGACAATCAAGCAAACACAAATCAGCAACCCATCCCACAAATAGCACCAAGAATTATCAAGGAACCAGGACTTTTTTACGATGGCGAGAACTTTGGAAAATTTTTGATGCGGTTTGAAAGAGCAGCTAGGGCGTTTAATGCAAGCGACTACGATAAGGCGTTACAAATCGGACAATTCATGAAGACCGAGGAACTCAAACTCCAACTAGAAGCCATGGATGGGTTTGAGAAATGTGAATGGGCGAAATTACGAAAGGAAATGGTCGAAACCTGGGGCGAATTGGACAACACAATCTTGTACACTTGCAACGACCTGGTTAAAATTACGAAAGAATACGGAGTAAATGGCGGAATCAAGGATCATCGGGAATTTAAATCTTACTTAGGAAAATTCACCACCATCCTTAAATACTTAGTAACCAATAAGCAAATACATCAGAAATCGGATGCCTCAATACTCTTTCTGAGTGCATTTTCCCGTGAAAGCCAATCAAATATCAAACGCACCTTAGTTAGTTACGATTTACTTCCAAAGGGACCAGATGGCAGCAATTTACCTCCACTCTGGGAAGACTTGGTCGAAGCATCACGACTGGAAGTACGGATCGTGGAACCTGGATATTTTAACATCTCCGGATTTGGCGAATCTAATCAATTGATGCAGAATAAACTGAACGCTCAGAAGGGAAACAGCCAACGAAGAGATCAGATGATTGCGGAAGCACCTACAGGACAAGCCATGGACAAACAAGTAGAAGATATGGCTCGAGAAATCGCTTCACTCAAGTCTCAACTGAAGAGCATAATCCCTGTATCTTACAATCAATCCGGATCCAACGAAAAATTGGAATTTACTAGAGGAAACGCTAAACCTTCAACACCGTTGTACGAAACTCAAGTTTGTTACTACTGCAAGTGGGAAGGACACGGAACCTTTCGATGTCAAGAACTCTTAAAGGACGAAGAACAAGGATTAGTTAGGCGTAACGGAAAAGACTGGTATTTACCAAATGGACAACACATACCTTGGAATCCTGCGAGACCTATCAGAACAGTAGTAGCTACAGCGTCAGCGGACCCTCAAATGCAAGAAGCCGCAAGAAAATTAGCAGAATCCCTTAAATCAGGAGAAACTCAAGCACCGGCTAAAATGAAAACCTCAGCTCAAACCATTGATTGGGATCCACCACAACTAGGTGCAGAAAATTTTCTAGCCAATCACGCAATTACCCGATCCAAGGGCCAACGAGGAAGACGCAGTGTTCGGATTCAAGAACCAGAAAAGGATGACATGGACGTTGATCAGGAAGACGAGCTCGCCGATATTACGGAGGAAACACCTAAAACACCTGTGGTAGAGAAAGTGTGGAGTAAAGAAAAGCCAGTGAATAAAAATAAGGCGGCAACGCCAGAAGAAGCTCTGCTGCAAGAGTTGGATCATCTAAAAATTCCCACAACATTTGTGCAACTTACGGCTATCTCACCATCCTACACAGAACAAATAATCACGAAACTTCAGAATCGACTTCCAGAGAAAAGTAGTGCAACTTATATTGCTACAGAAGCCACAAAAGTCTCAGCAGCCATGACCACTCCGGAAATAGAAGATTCCTCGGACCCTTGCTACTACAGCTGTGCCTTAGGATACGTAACAGCTGAAGTAGGGGGAGCTAGTGTGGAATTTATGGTAGATTCAGGATCCATGGTAAATGTTATGCCAAGATCAGTAGCGGAAGATTTGGATTTGGAACTAGTTCAAGTAAATATACCAATGAAAGGAGTTGGGGGAGCAAGATGTGACTTAAATGGAGTAGTTGAAAATTGCCCAGTTGGAATTGGACGATTCTCCGGACCAGCACATTTATTTGTTTCGCCCAAGGCTCAGGACTGTATTTTAGGACGACCTTTCTTATTTGACTACGGATGCACTCTGGAAAATCACGAGAATGGCGAAACTCTTTCTTTTCAAGGAACAAAGGGGCGAAGGGTGTCAGTACCATTAGCAAGAACGGGCCAAGGAAGAGGCTGGAACAATAAGAAGGATCTCAGTACCAATACCGTGAAGATACAGGACAACAATATACGACCGAACGAGGATCATCGCATGTTCAGAAGCAAATCAAATCAGCATTTTTTATGAATTCCGGTGTTCAACTACGGAATTACTCACTTAAGCTAGTCAAGAGAGTTATATTCAGAACACCGGGTTTCCTAGACTGGCTCAAAACTTTTCTTTTGGATCTATTTAGAAAACTACCAAAACTAACAAAAAGATATTTTGCAAAGGTAATGTTATTAAAAAAGAATATTCTGATTATTTTTCTTTTACTTTTGAGAATTTGTAAAACAGGTGCAGTCCAACTGCAAAAACTCAGGACAAATAGGATTCAAGACCCACCAAAATTAAATTTTACGAAGGCAGAAACTTTCAGAAAACCCACCTCCTCAACAATTGAATCCAAACCATCGGAACCACTTGGCTACAAGGATATACCGGATCAGGCGGAGAAATCAAAACTATCCGAGAAAAAGGCTTTACAGACTCAAGATTTCCATCTTCCAGAAATAAAAGAAAACTCTCAAAAATTTCCCATAAAGTCAAAAATCAGCTGGATTCAAGATATCACCAAGTTCAAAGACAAAATTTTCAGTAAACATCTTTTCAAATCTCATTTGGATTTATCCAACAATTCAAAAATCAACTACATTTATACTCAACAACCCAATATCAATAAGTATACCAACCCTGAAGGACGGAATGAGGATCAAATCAGTATTTCTAGCTCAAATAAAATCACAAATTTCAAAACACTCAGTCAACCTACCTCAAATCAATCTACTACACCATCACTTCCACTTTTTGCAACACATGAAGATACCATTGATATTCCACCTGCACCGGTTCCACCAGATATAACACAAACAGATTGGGATTCA